AGAGCCAGTCTCTATCATGAATTCAGTAGGTTTCCTTTACCAAGTTGTCATACCTGTTAAAATATATATATGTATGTATATATGCAGTATACACATAGATACATCATAGAATATTGTCTTGTTACTATTTTTTTTTCTTTTTTTCTTTTCTTTTTTTTTGGAAACAGGGTCTTGCTGTGTCCCCTAGGCTGGAGTGCAGTGGCTGGATCATCTCTCACTCCAACCTCCGCCTCCCCAGCTCAAGCGATCCTCCCACCTCAGCTTCCCAAGTCGCTGGCACACACCCCCAACTGGCTAATTTTTTGTACTTTTTGCAGAGACATATGTTCCCCAGGCTGGTCTCAAACTTCTGAGCTCAAGCCATCCGCCCACCTTAGCCTCTCAAAGCTTTAGGATTACCGGTGTGAACCGCTGCACCTGGCTTTGTCTTATTACTTTTTAAATTATTTACTTTTAGCATATTGTAGATCTTAATCCGTAGCCACATCATAGTATAGGCATGAATCTACAACTTGCTATTTTTCAGCCAACCCATTTTGAAATCCAGTTTTCTACATCATATGGGGACCACACTAGTTTTGAGAACTTTAAAACAGATGATTCCCATAGGGCAAATGTTGCTATTAGGTAATAAAAGATTCAGGTGATGAGTATTATGGACAAAAGTAAGACATTAACTGCACCTCACAGAGTATCATGAGGATCTCTGATTGATCAAATTAAAAAATCAAATTTAAGAAGCAACGAGTACTAATCAGCCTTGATATGTTTGTTATGAAGCTATTTTATTGAAATAAAAGTGCTTTGAAGATGAAAAGCACATTTTTTTTCTTTCCTAGAATTAAATCATTTCATCCCTCCCTCAGGCTACAAAGTTCATTCAAGTAGAAAAAAGTAAATGCTCCAGTTCTTTTCTTTTTTTTTTCCTTTTGAGATGGAGTCTCGTTCTGTCACCCAGGCTGGAGTGCAGTGGCATGATCTTGGCTCACTGCAACCTCCACCTTCCCAGTTCAAGCGATTCTCCTGCTTCAGCCTACTGAGTAGTTGGGATTACAGGCACCTGCCACCATGCCCAGCTAATTTTTGTATTTTTAGTTAGAGACAGGGTTTCACCATGTTGGCCAGGCTAGTCTCGAACTCCTGACCTCAAGTGATCTGCCCGCCTTGGTAGTTCTTTTCTTATGGAGTTTCAGCTGACTTATATTAAGGCTTGCTTTCTTTCTCTTTTTATTTCTGACCACAGTTTGTAACTTCCCTGCACTGAAAGATACTCTTTTTTCCACCGCTTAAAGCATGCAAAGTAATGGTCCAGAGGGAGGGCTCATTAACTTTTTTTATTTTTTTTCCTGTGGTTTCCTCTCATTATTTCATTGCCTAGGCAATATTTTTTAAAAGACCTCATGCTGGTGAATAGAAATTGACATAAAAGAGCATAACAACTTTTTTGGAGTCTCAAGGTCTGTGATGTAAACACCCCAATTTGTTTTTCAAAGGTTTTCTTCATCCATTGTATAAATACACATATTTACATAATTTCCAAAACATGTGCTTTGCAGCCGCAGTCCTTTCAGCGTTATCTATTAATAAGGGTCACATGTAGATGTGGATTTGCAAGCTTGAATTCCAACACGTCACTTTGTCATTTTCAAATTTTGTGAGCGCTGGAACTTAGTGGGCAGACTTCCCCATCTCGCTTCAAGAAAACATCCGAAGGGTGTCATCCATTTTGGAAGGAACAAGACACCCGAGTTTTGATAAACTTGACCTCTGTGGGATTATACCAGAGAGGGAACTGAAGTGAGATGGGCGTCTGTAGGCACTGAACTCTAAGCTTGTCCTTCTAAGGTAACATTTGCAATTCTTTCTATGATGCACTTTTTCTTTTGTCTCCTAACTTCTGACGAAGGCCATGGGTATGTCAGTGGAAGTCAAAGGTAGCACATAGGTCATTGGAGAAATGGAGGGTATTTTCTATATTCGAGTGGTTTTCAGTGGGCTTCATCTACCCTTGCTTGAGGCGGCAGAGCTTAGAGAGGATGGGGGGAGTTTAGAGGTGGGGACAGGGCTGCCAACAGTTTGAGTTTTGCTTAACTTTGGCTTGCTGGAAGGCAGAGCACCTGAAGGAGACCTCTCTGGGTATTTCCAGACCTCTCTGGGTATTTTGTGGCCAAAATCAAAGAACAAGGACACCCAGAGACCCTTTGGTCAAGCCCTCTGTGACACCTTCACAGGACATTTTCCTTGGCCCTCTGTCA